ACAGACTGTCCCAGGTGTGAGGCATGCCCACTGGGTAGCCAGGTGGATTGTGTTTCTTGTGGCTCCTGCTCCTGCCTGGAGTGCCCCACTTCCGGGAGTCTGAGCCCAGGGAACCCCAACTTCTGGGAGTCTGAGCCCAGGGAACTCCCCACTTCCCTGAGTCCCAGCCCCCAGCCCAGAGAACCCCCCACTTCCCTCAGTGCCAGCCCCGCTCTGCCAGTTTCAGGGCTGGATTCTCTGAGCTGGGTGTGTCCAGGGGGTGACATCCTGCCTCCCACGTGGGGATCTTACTGCCAGGGGAGTACGGCCCTGAGATCACAGTCTCTAAATAGTCTCTAAAAAGCCAGAGGGAGGGAAAGAAAGGACTTTCCACCTTCCCACGCTGGAGATTTAAAAATACCCATTTTCCATCGTGGTAGAACTTTCCAGGGGAAGGTGGGCTGAGAGACGCTGATGGAAACAGCTCTGGGGTACGTGTGGCTCTCCCCCGCCCCCCAACCGCCCCCCCGCCATGGTCCTCATGGGTGTTCTTGGGAGGAGAGCCCGCAAGCCCCAGCAACACTATCCCCAGGCTGGTGGTTAAACATGAACATCCCCACCCCATGGAGTTGGGTCACCAGTGGTTCGTGCCTCACAGGGCTTGGAGGAATCTGGGTTTCAGGCAGGAAGAAGTGACCTCCTGGGTCTCTCTACGGTTTGAAGAAGGCAGGAATGCCAGGTTTGTATCTCTGCTCACTGCCTCTGTCAGCCTGCAGGAGGGGCAAGAGCCAGGCCCCCACTCGCCCAGGTTTGTTCCACAGACCCAACAGAATGTGGAAATATGTGGCTCCCAAATGGATCTTGCTTTTTGCAGAAACAGAACTGTGCTCACTAATTGAGACAATGTTGGCATGAATGGAGTGAATTGTTGCTAAAACTCTGTAGTTAGGGCGTGTAGGCTTTTCATGCATAGGTGTGTAAAACTTAAAAATGTTATTAGTGCACCCAGCTGGTGTGGCTCAGTGGTTGAGCATCAACTTATGAACCAAGAGGTCACTGGTTCCATTCCTGGTCAGGGTACAAGCCTAGCTTGTAGGCTCAGTCCTCAGTAGGAGGTGTGCAGGAGAGAGCCGATTGATGTTGTTTCTCTCTCATCAATATTTCTAGCTCTCTATCCCTCTCCCTTCATCTCTTTCTAAGTCAATTAAAACCTATTAAAATATTATTAGTATAATTACATCAGATTCTATATTTTGGACTCTGTATGTTGTCTTTGTCCATTTTTTTTTAAATACAGCTTTATCCAGATATATCCTTGTAAAGTATATAATACAGTAGTTTTTAGTATATTCAGAGTTGTGTAGAAAATACCACTATTCACAGTTAGAATGTTTTTATCACCCCCAAAGGAAACTTCACACCCATTAACAGCCACCCTCCCCCATACCTCTCTTCCTTGTCAGCAGTATTCATCCTGTGGATCTGCCTCTTCTGGACACTTCATGTCAATGGCATCATACAACATATGGTCCTTTGTATCTGACTGCTTTGCTAAGATTTCAGAATTCATACAGGTAGCAGGATGTGTCCGTGCTTCGTTCCTTCTTATAACTAAAGGATATATAAAGTCCATCTTAGCCATGTTAGGGATTTGCCATGTTTTGTTTATTCACTCATTATTTGGTGGGTATTTGAGTTGTTGGACTATTCTGAATAATGCTGCTATGAATATTCATGAATAGGATTTTTACTTCTCTTGGGTAGTAAAATTACTGAGTCATATTGTAACTCCATGTTTTACTTTTTTAAAAACGGCTGTACTGTTTCCCAAAGTAGCTGCCCCATTTTATTTTCCTTCCCACAGGATATGAGGGTCCCAGTTTCTCCCCACCCTTGTCAACACTTATTATTGTCTGTGTTTTTGGTTTTAGCCATGCTAGTACATATGGAGTTCTATCTTATTGTGGCTTTGATTTGCATTTCCCTAAGATGTTGATTATCTTTCCATGTGTTCACTGGCCATTTGTATATCTTTAGAGAAATGTCTGTTCCATTTTTGGAATCAAAAGCAATAGTGTTATGATACTAGCTTTACAATTTGCCCTCTTCCATTTTCTTGATCAATTTATATAAGAAGGAATTATCTGTTGTTAATTTGGTAAAAAAAAAAAATAAATAAAAAAAATACAGTATAAAACCATCTAGAGTGCAGGGATGGGAAAGGTTTCTGATTCCTATTTCAATTATTTAATGCCCCTTTTCACCAATTTTAGCATTTTGTATTTTCCCAGAAATGTACATACTACATGCTGTTTTATAGCCCCTGCTTTCTTCGTTGCGTATTTCTCCCTTGCCAAGAAGTGTAGCTTCACATGGCTCTGGATTCAGCTGTGTGTACGTGCCTCGCGTTTGGACAGTCCCTTTATGGAGATGGTTTTTTGTTTTCCTGGTGTAAACAGTGGGACTGTTGCTTGGGTTCCATCTCCGTCGGGGACAAACCACCCACAACACAGTGGCTGAAACAACAGTTATTTTATTGCTCAGGAATTCGAGCCGAGCTCAGGCGGGTGGTTCTACCCTGTAGTGTCTGACGAAGCTGGGAGCTTGCAGGGCTGGCGTGCCCACAATGGCACCCCATCCAGGAGCCGGTTTCTCTCATAGACCTTCCTCCTCCACAGCCTCCGACCCCCTCCCCCTCCTAGGACCTGTCTCTCAGCAGGGTAGTCAGATTTTCTTGATCTAGTGGCCGGCTTCCCAGAGAGAAGTGCTAATCCTCTCCATTCTAGCCCTGGACCTGGTGGGCGTCCCTTCCACTGGTCCTGTATGGACAGCCCAGACCGCAGAGGCAGGGCAGACAGCACCCATTTGTGGTATCACCTGTGGTGTGGTGATAGGAAGAACTGTTAGTGATCACATTTGCAGAAGCTCAGCTGTGAGCATGCGGTGCCCTTGCCTGATGAGTGTTGGGGTCAACTGACCATCCTTGAACAGACGGCTGGTCTGTATGGACCTTTAAAAGTCACATAATGACTGGGGCCAAGGCAGGGAGGGAGTTCCCAGAATTCCCTGGGTCTCTCAGGGGACGACTTGCAGTGACTATAGAGATGCCTCAGGCCCTTGGCAGTTTGTCCCAAGCTGGTCTTCACTGGGGTCTCACCAGTTTCTGAAGACGGTGGCGTTACCCTCACTTTACGAAGGACAAAACTTGAGGCTCAGGAGTTAGCTGGCCTGACCCACTTGCCTTCTCCATTCCCCACCACCTCGAGCTCTGCCCCGTGCAGTATTGTGACAGTAACATGCACCATGTGGGATTCAACAGCTTCCTGAGTCTCTGGTCCCATGTGCGAGGGTGCGGTAAGGAGGTGATGGCTTCAGACCTCGAGTCTGAGGTCTCTTACACGGTCTATCACTGTGGACTGTGGGCTTCGCCTCGGAACCTCACTTTGCTCATTTGTAAAATGGGAACAATCATCTTACTGTTGGGGAGAGACAGAGGCTGGAGTAAAAAAAGCCCCTAGAATTTCAGCAGCAGGAGAGAGAACGCACCTGGTCTTCTTGGGGCCCTTCACCCCAGCCTCTCCCACCTCTGCTCGCAGCTGGGCTGGGGCGGGAGGCCATATGTTCAAGGTGCATAACTGGGTCACAAATGGCTTGTTCTCCTGCTCGGAGAACCCCTGTGCTCTCTCTAATGAGATGCTCCAGCTCCAGGTGGCAGTGAGGAATTCCCACTTCCCACCCGTCCGCCTGGACTCGCAGCCCAGCCGTTCCACGTGGCCGGGCTCCTGTGGGCGGACTCAGGCCTAGCTCCCCTCACCCTGCAGAGCCTGGGCTAGCATCTCACTCTGCCCACCTCCAGGCTGTCTGTCCCCACCCAAAGCCAGGCTCTTCCCAGGTGCCCAGGACAAGGTGCAGGGTGTGGCGGGAGGAGGGCCGGAGTGCTCACAGGGCGTCAGGGCGTCGGCACTGGCCTGCAGCGCGGGCCCTCTGTGCGCCGCGGCCACCGGAGGAGCTGTGTGGCTTGGCGAGGCTGGCACTCATCCAAGGCCCAGTTCCGGCCCTCAAGTCACCATTGTTCTCCTCGCCATGAGGGCCCATCCCGACAGCTGGTCACATTTTCCTACAAAGAGCATTTCCCAGCACGGTTGCCACCCAGGCCTGTGGCTTCTGTGCCGTGGTGCGGGTGTTCCCACGGCCCCGGAGCTGCCGTCGGCGAGGAATTGTTTGGGTTCGGAATGGTTTTCTTCTCTCATGGAGCTGATGGGGCCCCTCAAAGGACTCAAAACGTTGAAACTTGGAATCCTTAAAATTAAAGAGATGTTATACTTCATATACTTGAGTCTTACTAGTTAGGAATGTAAAATCCATCCAGCCGTCCACCCATCCACACATCCGTCCTCCATCCCCATACAAGGTCAATGAGGTCTTGCCCATTTTGCGACTGCAACGTGTGAGGAAGAGAGAATGAAAGGGCCTCCCCTCCTAACACCTGAAGCTCCTGAAGATGCTGCGGAGCCGGGAAATGAGGAGTGTCTGCTAGAGCCCAATTGCCTGGGCTCGAGTCCCAACTGGGCAACTTCCTGGCTAAATGCCCTGGGCGAGCCATGGTTTTACCATGTATGCAATGGAGTTGATAACATCCTATGACTTAGGCTTGTGGGAACTGAAGGAGACACTGTGTAAAAGCCTTGGGACAGTCCTGGGCAGTCACCCAGCAAATGTGAACTTCCTGTCGTCCCTGAGATGCCCAGCCACAAGGGGGTGCATCATTCCTGCCTTGCTGCACTGCCCCACTGGCATCCCTCTAACAACTGTGAAAGGCGAGCTTGGCTCCCAGCACCTGTCTCCTGTGGGCCTCTCTCCACACCTCCGGCACCCCCTTTCCCACGGGAGATGCTAAGGGGTGTCTATACACCCGCTTTTGGGAACTAACAGACGTCCTCCCGCCTCCCCCTCCCACACAGTCCTTCCATCGGTGTCTGTTTGGGTCACCGGTGGCTGAGCCTGCGTCTCCTCTCTCGCAGGGACTCGGACCTGTTCCTGCTTGACAGCCGCACCCTCTGGGCCTCGGAGGAGGGCTGGCTGGTGTTCGACATCACGGCCACCAGCAACCACTGGGTGGTCAACCCTCGGCACAACCTGGGCCTGCAGCTCTCCGTGGAGACCTTGGATGGTGAGTCAGCCCCCGCCCAGGTGGTCCTGATGCAGCCCTTATGGCGGGGCTGGTGGAGGCTCCTGGCCACGCCCATGCTTGTCATCAGAGGGCTTTGCTGACCCCTCCCCACACGCCCTCAGTGTTCAGCCTGTCCCTCCACACAGGAAGCGGCTGCTAGCCCCTGTGCGCGAGGTGAGCACACGGCGGCTGCTGCCGGGCTGGACAAGGCTCTGCTCTGAGTGCGGTCCACAGGGCAGGGTCAGAGCTCAGACGCCCGCCCGCCCCAGGGTGCTGCTCAGGACCTGCACTTAGATGAGCACCCGGGATCCGGCTGAGCACCTGGTCTGAAACGTGTTGCTGCGTCCCCTGCACCTCGGACGCGGGCTCTCCTGGGCATGTGGGATGTTTAGCAGCGCCCCGGCCCTACCACCAGTCCTCGTAGCCTCTCCCATTTTAACACCCCAAATGTCTCAGGCATTTCCAGATGCCCCCTGCTGAGCACACTTGCCCCTGGTAAGGACCGCTGCCCAGGGTGGGGGCAAGGCACTCAGCCCTTCCAAGAAACCCTAACTGTGGCCCTGGTCGCAGACACTCGCTGTTCGCCTGCCCCTCCCCCAGCACCGTTCACTGACACCACCCCGCCACTTGTTCTCCAAGATGGGCAGGCAGGAAGGCGTGCCGGGAGCTAGGCTGGGCCCAACAGTGTCCATTCCTTCTTCCCCCAAAGTATGCTTCTTTAAAAAAAAAAAATAAAAAAAAAAAAATATATATATATAATTGATTTCAGAGAGGGAGGGAGGGCAGGGGGGGGGGGAGAGAGAGAGAGAGAGAGAGAGAGAGAGAGAGAGAGAGAGAGAGAGAGAGAGAGAAAGAGACATCAATGATGAGAGAGAATCATTGATTCGCTGCCTCTTGCATGACTCCCAACAGGGATCGATCCCACAACTGGGGCATGTGCCCCAACTGGGAATGGAACCATGACTTTCTGGTTCATAGGTCAGCGCTCAACTGAGCCAGGGCAGCCAGGCTGAAGTGTGTTTCTTATTAAGTGGAGATGGTTTGGGGGTGAGTAGCTTCTTCCTGCACCGGTTTTAAGGAAAACCAAAACCATTTGTTGTAAAATAGGTAATACGTGCCCATGGCTCCGACTTCAAAGGCTGCAGGTGTGTGCTGCCTCCCCCGCAGCCAGGTCCCCTCCCAGAGGCCCCATGCTCTCCTGTGACTGGACCTCCCCAGGGATGCTGTCCGGGCGCCTAAGAATTACACGTGGACTCTGCTCCCTCTTTTTATTCCCCCAACACAGCGTGGCAGTGCTCAGTGTCTCCCCCTTGCCCATTTCCCGTGATCCGGAGCTTCCTCAGTATTTGAAGGCCGTGGTGCATTTGTGTGTATGTGGTGTGAGTGTGTCTCTGCCTCTCACACGCGTGACTGCTTCAGAGCCTCCAATCCTGCCACCACACTCCCCCCACCCCACCCCGTGCAGGTAACAGGAGGGCCTGGGCCATTGGGTTGTTCCCCGATTAAATGAGTTGATACAGAAAGGGTTTAAGATGCGCCTTCACCTGCATTGGAAGCCCCAGGTCTCTTGTTAAAGGCGCTCTGGTTCAGCAGTGGGGCGGACCTGGGGGCTGGCATTTTCAACCGGCCCCAGACCAGGGAGGCTGCGGTCCCTGGGCGGGGCTGTGAGTGTGGGGGCTGAGAACAGGGCCTGGCTCACAGGACCCCCCCCCACCCCCCCCCCACCCCCCCTCCCGTGAAAGCTGGTACCGTTGTTACTGCTACCGACAGTATTTCCCCAGCCCCTTGGGAGGGATGTCCAGGTGTTTTCTGATCGTTTGTGCCTACACACGGGGCTGCAGGAAAACCTCCGTGTAAGCGCCCTTGTGCCCTCGAGTGAAGGCAGCTCTAGTGCCCGTGCCCGACAGTGACACCGTGTGTGGATTTGAGAGAGATTGTTACTTTGCCCGTCAGGGGGGTCATTCCAGCGGCACCCCGGCTGCCATTCACCAGACACCTGCTTCCCGACTTTGTCAGCACAAGTTCTCAATCTCCTCCCTCCCTGCTAATCCGGCAGCTGATGGACAGGATCCTGGAGTTTGGCTTAGCTGTCCTCTGCCGTGTGCCGGCCCTCCCTCTGCCGTGTGCCGGCCCTCCCTCTGCCCTGTGCCGGCCCTCCCTCTGCCGTGTGCCGGCCCTCCCTCTGCCGTGTGCCGGCCCTCCCTCTGCCCTGTGCCCGGCCCTCCCTCTGCCGTGTGCCGGCCCTCCCTCTGCCCTGTGCCCGGCCCTCCCTCTGCCGTGTGCCGGCCCTTTCTCGGGAGTGCCCTGTGCACCGTCTGCTCACACCCTCTGCCCACTGTGCTCATCAGGCATTCGTCTTCCCTTCTTTATGTTTCAGAGACGTTTGGCCCTTGGTGGTTTGAGCTGCAGATAGTTTCCCAGTTCGTAGCTTTTCCTCTGACTGTGGTCAGTGCTGGGTATGGCTGAGTGGATTCAGACAACGCAGCTGACTTTGATAATGGTGACCTTTACCGATCCCTAGGCCACCGCTTGGCTCTGGAGCTGCCCCTGTGCCTGAGTCTCAGGAAGCCAGTCACTCCCCTAAGGCCACGAGCCCCACGGGAGGGCCACGGAGTGGAGGACCACTCTTGTTTGTTTCCAGGCCGCTCACTTTTCACTGATGGTCCCCGACCTTTCCTGCCCTCCTCCCACTGTCCACACCCTGACACTTAAAAGTGGGTCCTCCCAGGCCCTGGGCTTTCCATCCTTTTGCACGGGGTCAGCTCACCCGCTGGGTCAGGTGCAGCCTGGGGCTTGTTTTTGGGCGGCCTGTGAGCTTAGAGTAGCTCCTGCCTTTTTAAGTAGCTGAGAAAAATCAAAAGAAGGCTGTGTGGTGACATGTAGATTGTGTGAGACTTCTGTCCCGTGTCCACGAGTCAGGTTGGTTAGCTCACAGCCACACCCACTGGTTTATGGGGAGTCTAGGGTCGCTTTGTGCTCCAACAGCAGAGTTGAGTAGTTGTAACAGAGCCTTTACGGCACAGAAAGCTGGAATTGTTTACTCTCAGAAATATTACGGGGAAAGTTGCCAACCCCCGCTGAGGATCAGTCAGTTAAGTGTGAGAGTCACTAGGTGGATAAGCAAAGCAGATTCCCCGCACAACCTACCAGGGCTCGTATTTGGCCGATGCCCATTGTGCACCTCCTGCCGGGGAATATGGCACAGAGGGTTCCACACTTCTTTGGCAGTAACATCATCCAGCCTTTCTTTTTTAAAATATATATATTTTATTGATTTTTTACAGAGATGAAACGAGAGGGATAGAGAGCTAGAAACATTGACCAGCTGCCTCCTACTCACCCCCTACTGGGGATGTGCCCGCAGCCAATGTACATGCCCTTGACTGGAATCGAACCTGGGACCTTTCAGTCCGCAGGCTTACGCTCTATCCACTGAGCCAAACCGGTTTCGGCAAATTCCTCCCAAGCCGCTGTGGCGCTTCCTGGGGACGAGGTACAGTGAGGCAGAGGTAGACCTGGTTTCTCTCTTCAGGGCGCGCTTCCCTGGACCGTAGCTATTGCCGAGGCCTTCCAGCTGCACCTGGTGTGTCCTGAGCTTCTAGGTTTGGTTTTCTCCCAAGTGACACTCAATTCAGTCCCCCTGGTGCCAGGGGTGCCATCTTCTTTCTCCCTGAGTCTGGGTCTCTCTGGCCCTTGCCTCCTGCCCTGCTCCCCATTGGCTGTGGATGAGGCTCAGCACTGTCAAGGTGGTACAGCAGATGGTCAGAGTGTGGGTTCCAGAGCTGGTAGACTTCCCAGGTTCAAACCCTGCTCTGCTGTTTCTACCACGTGACCCCGGTTGAGTCACTCCATGTCCCTCATCTGGAAAGTGGGGTTCATAAGAGTTTCCGCCTCCAGGGTGGTTGTGAAGGATTAGGTGAGCTCATGCAGGTGCAGAGCTTAATTGCTCAACCTGTGGTTGCACCTCTGCTCAGCACAAGTAAGCGCTTTATGCCTTTCATTGTCTCCCGTCATCCTCACCATTCCCCAGCGAGCTGGGTGCTGCCACCACCACCCACGGCACTCGGAGACTGACGCCCCTAAGACATGGCGGGCTCTCCATTCCAGTTGCTGCCCAGGACCCCTCGCCATCCATGGGGAGTGTAGCCTAGAGTCAGCAAGGGTGAGATGCTGCCTACAGTCAGCAAAGGTGGGATGCCCTGGTGCCCTGTCTTTTCCCTCCCAAGTGGGCACTCAGGGACTCAGCCGTTTAGTGTGGTGCCTGGGTCAGGGGAGGGGCAGTTTGCCAACGGGCCAGTGGCCAATTAGGCATGTGGATTTTTGGATCTCTGGGGAGTGAGATAAGAAGCAAGCAAGCCTAGCATTTCAAAGAACACAGGCCTGGCCATGAGGTTCTTTGTCCCACACTAGAGTGTCACTGTGAATATACAGGTTACTGCCCCCCCACCCCCGGCCCAGACCCCCGGGTGGCCAGTCCCCAAGGGTGGGCCCGGCCTTTTCTCACAAGCTCCTTGGGAAACTTGGGGCCTAGGTCAGCAGTAACAGCACTGTGGAAAAGCTGTGTCCTGTGTTTTGGGGTACCCCCATTAATAAGATGCTACCCAGGCCGATAGGCTCCCTTTATGACGTGGGTCTAAGCCTTTCCTGTTAGATGTCTACACTGGGTAAGACCAGCAGGGCCTTCTGGGGGACTGTGGGTTCTGGAGTTCATTTGTTGGGCAGCCTGGTGCCCACCTACTGTGTGCCAGCCTGGCTGCATGTAAAGACAGCCTGGTCCCTGCCCTGGGACCTCTCACCAGCGTTAACGTAACTCCATGGCACCGCTGCCTGGGGCAGCACCTGGACAGGTCGAGTCCCTGGGTGGTGGCACCCATGCCCAGCTCCCACTCTCCCACTCCCCCAATGGTGATTACTGACTTTGGGGTAAAGCATCTAATCCTTGTCCAGACCGAGACAGCACCCTGCAGCCCCTAGGCAGCGGCTAGAACACAGAGCCCCAC